GGGTAGGATTATTAGTGGTTATATATTTTATTGAATATACCTATAGATATATTATATTATATTATTACAATATTATTATATTTATCTTTATTTATATATTTTAATGTTATTTCATGATAATACATATTTTTCTGCTGACGATGAATCTGCAAGTGCCTCCAGCTATGATAGTTTTTCTTCTGCTGCTGACAATTTGGGTGATTTTCTTGGTCGAACCTTCTGTAAATCTTCTAGTTTATTGAATGTATGTCATATCAATGCCCAAAGTGTTCCTTGTCACTACAATGAACTGCTTGATGTGTTTTCCGGACCGAATGTCCACGCTATTCTGATCTCTGAGTCTTGGCTGAAACCGCATCTCGATTCGTCGACCTATTCACTTCCTGACTTTATTCTCATCCGAAATGATCGAACCAAAACAGGTGGTGGTGGAGTGGCCATATATTTGCGTAGCGTATTTACTTACAAAATAATAGCTTCTTCTAGTTCTGACTCATGTGCCGAATTTCTCTTCCTAGAAGTTGGAACTGGTCGTGACAGGGTAATTTTGGGTGTTGTTTATTGTCCCCCATCTATCAACTATTTCACCGAACTGGAAACGGTTTTGGAATCTTTGGGTTCTGAGTATGCTCATTACATCATCATGGGAGATTTCAATACCAATCTCCTTTTACCTAACTCTCCCCGATCCCGAAAGCTTCTGAATATAGTTCAGTCATCCAGCCTTCAAATCCTGCCGCTTCAATCTACTCACCAAAACATAGGTGGTGACGACTCCTGGCTGGATTTAATCCTAATCTCGAATCCTTCCCTAGTATCCTCTCACGGTCAACACATTGCTCCTGGATTTTCTCATCATGACCTTATTTTCCTTTCCTATCTCCTTAAACCTCCTAAATCTATTCCTAAGGTTCTGTATAGGCGCTCTTTTGCACGCCTAGATGTTGAAGAACTTCAAAAGGATGCTTCGTTAATTAATTGGGAGCCCCTAATAGAAGCGCCTTCAGTCGACGAAAAAGTTCGTATCTTTAATTGTATCGTTACAGAACTGTATAATGCTCATGCTCCTGTTAAAAAAATTAAGTTAAAGAGGTTACCAGCTCCATGGATGACTAAAGGCATTCAAATGGCGATGAGGCGTAGGGATCGGGCGTTCCGTAATTTCAAGAAAGATCGTGGAGAAGAAAAGTGGGGTCTCTTCAAAGTCGCTAGAAATCGGTTAAACCAGTTGATACGTAATGCAAAACGCCGCTACATCCTCAATAATATCTCTTCCTCTTCTCCTGCTGATATCTGGAAATTTCTTGGAACTCTAGGCATCGGCAAATCTCGTCATTTGGAACTGCCTACTTCGATCGAATTAAATGACTTAAATCGACATTTCTCAACTACGTCGAAGCTAGATCGGGCAACTACTACAGCTGCCATTGCTTCTATATCAGCTTTACCGCGTCTCAACATTCCCCTTTTTCACTTTTCACCATTCACATCGTCAGACATTAAAAAAATCGTCCTTTCCATTAAATCTAATGCTGTGGGGTGTGACAACATTAGTCGTCGCATGATAATTTTAATCTTGGATCACCTTCTCTCTGCAATTACACATATAATAAATTTCTCTCTTATTTCTGGAGTTTTCCCTTCTCTTTGGCGTAAAGCTTATGTCCGTCCTCTTCCTAAAGTCTCTAATCCAACTGACCCTAACCATTTCCGTCCCATCTCCATCCTTCCTTTCTTATCCAAAGTACTTGAGGCTTGCGTTCACCAACAATTTTCGCAGTTTGCCTACAAAAATTCTATACTGAATCCTCTGCAATCGGGTTTTAGACCAGGACATAGTACAATCACAGCTCTTCTCAAGGTAACTGGCGATGTTAGGGCAGGTATGGAGAATGGTAAAATTACTTGCTTGGTCCTCATCGATTTCTCCAATGCTTTTAACACTGTTAGCCATGATATCCTTCTCGCTATTCTATCTCACATTTTAGTGTCTGACGATGCGTTGAAGTGGTTCTCGTCCTATCTTCGGGAGCGCCAGCAGATGGTCCAGTCTGGTGAGTCTTCGTCATCCTGGTATAATCTGGAAACTGGTGTTCCTCAAGGCGGCATTCTTTCTCCTCTTCTTTTTTCCATTTTTATTAATTTTATCACTTGTAAACTTCAGTGTTCGTATCATCTGTACGCTGATGACTTGCAGCTATACACTCAGGCAAATGTTGATAGTTTAAACGATGCAATTGATGCTCTGAACAGAGACTTAATCTCTATAAAGTCTTGGTCGGAAATGTTTGGTGTTGCTGTCAACCCCACAAAATGTCAGGCTGTATTGGTGGGCGGCTCTCGAATGACAACTAGAATCAATAATTGCGATCTCCGTGCTTTGGTCTTCGATGGCGTTTCGATCCCATTTAGCCAAAATGTGAAAGATCTTGGGTTATTTATCGACTGTAACTTAAACTGGCAGGCCCAAGTAGCAAATGTTTCGAAAAAAGTTACTGGAGTGCTACGAGCTCTTTACCGCATGAAAAATTTCCTACCTATTAACATTAAGGCAATGCTAATGCAGACCCTAATATTTCCCATAATCGACTATGGTGATGTATGCTATCTCGACTTGAATGCAGATCTACTTAATAAACTTGACCGTCTTCTGAATAACTGCATTCGATTCGTTTACAATCTACGAAAGTATGATCATGTGTCTGAATACCGATCATTACTCAAATGGATGCCCATTCGGCAACGCAGGCAAATGCGAACTCTAACCACCCTTTTCTCATTACTAGATTCACATAATGCTCCTTCTTATCTTACTCCCCACTTTCAATATTTGTCCACAAGTCACACTAAAAATCTACGTTCTGCTTCTAACCGTTTGCTCATGTGTCCTTCTCATAGCTCTGATGTACTTCATTCTTCCTTCTTTATTAAATCTATTCTCCTATGGAACTCTCTTCCTTTAGACCTAAGAATGTCTACTAGTCGGTATGCGTTTAAAACTAAGTTACGCAGCTATCTTTTAGAGCAAGCAGATTCCTTTAATGGTTAATCGTGTATGTATGTATTTAATATATTATATTTTTATTTATGTATATATGTATGTTTCTATGTACAATATTATATAGTATGTATCTTAAAGTATATATATTAATTAGGTTGTCTAGTTTAGTATATTCTTATAATTGTGCACCTGACCACGTATTCTTCTCCACATTACCTTAAGGTTGACTGGCAGAAAATGCCGCAGGCATTAAGTCCGCCTATGTACATTTGTGCATAAAGTATAAATAAATAAATAAATAAATAAATAAAATAATTAAGTATATTTACACTACGATTAATGTAAACAAAATTGAACTTTGACTACTAATTAATAAACATCTGTTTACAAAGGTATCTTTGGTTTGCAAATCACTGTTGTTTTATGAATAAATTAAATTATGTCAATAATACCTATTTATATAATTCAAAATTTAAGCAGAATTTCGACAGATAAAGCTTAAAAATATAAACATGTTTTTTTTGTATTTTAATAATAAATTTAAAAATATGTTTAAATAGGTCATATATTTATTTATAGATTAAATTTATCGAGTTTGAACTACCGTTTATTAACGCCATCTTAATAAAAATAACATATCTTTAGGCATTTCGCATTTATTTTTCTAGCAGATCTGCGCATCAGAACTGCACGCAGTTTTTAATACTCAATTTTATTATAACTGTTACAGCAGGTGTTAAATTTATCTTAGAAAAATACTTGAAAATACTGATCGATGTCCTTACAAAATTCAGCACCAGCTGAAAAATAGAGTTTAAACATTTTATCAAGTTTTTCATAATCGGTTTATTAGAACGAAACTGAAAATCATTTAGTCATAATAAATAATATGAACTAAGCTGAACTGGACTTGAACAAGCAACCTTCCACTAACCTTTTCAAACTGAGCTGGCGTAAAATACCAGACAGTCATATTTATTAAGTATTTCTTACTGATAAACGATTTCTTCAAGTATTTTTATTAGATAAATATTAAAAGACATTATAAATTTTAAATCCATTAATAATAATAATAACATTTAGTAAGGATAATCTAATATAAAAATACTAGAAAGAAATTATTAAGTTTACATAAAACGTTATCTACTGAGTTATACATAAATACTCACACACGAATAACGGACAGTCTTTGGTTCATATGCTACGAATTGAAAAATTTATATGTTTTATTTACCTATTTAAAACCGGTTCAGTTTTATTAATCTTATATACTAAAAAAGTGCACAAAATTGTGTGTAATTATTATTAATGATATGAAAAGTAAAGAACATTTCTAATATAGTATCAGCGACGGCTGTGCTAAGTGTATTCCTGGTTGAGATTCTAATAAAACACTATGATATTCAACATATTACTGCCTCGCAACTAGTTAATATAACGCCACTTACAAATTAATGTTATGTACTCTAAAATAGGCATAATGTAATCATAATAGAGCACTTATTCTAATAATAAAAAAAATAATAATGTAGAGTCACATTTTTTGATAACACAGGGGGAATGCTTTGTAAGCCTTAAACCAAGGCTCTCCAATCATCCTGCCCTAAAAAGGGCAGGTTGATGTGAACAGCCTACCTGTTAAGACCCCCTGCAGTCCACCTCATGTGAATAGGAACAACCCGGAAAGTAAAGTTACCTAATAAAGCCCACTATATTCACCGCTGGAGTGCTAACAAGCCAATTAAAATAAGTCTGAATTACAATGCTACACTGACTTATTAGTAAGGACAGAAAAATGTAATTTAGACCTATTTTAGTTTGTAATTTTAGTACTCCAGCAGTCAAAAATAATAAATCTTATTATGCGACTCTATCTTATAAAACGAATATTCAATGATAAACTTCGTTGTATGTACTCTCTTTTCTACTCGTTGGCATTTAAATCTGTAGGTCTAGAACAGGATAACCGACTCGCACAACACGAATTTCTATTCTGAGTGTATACAACCTGAATAAAGAGCAATAAATAATCGTTATACAGATTACATTTGTCCATCTGTATTCTTAATAATAACTTACGAAAAAAATATTTACATTTTACTAACAACACATATATTTACATTACGCTGAAGTTGGGTCCAAAACATTAAAGATACCTTATAACTAGAAGATTTATATGTACTAATTTAAACGACTTTAAAATTGAAGCGAATAAAATATATAAAATGTATTTTCATGCAGAAAATAATTTATTATGAATACAAAAAGAAACACACTCTTTTAATCAAAGAAATATCATAGGAAATTAATATTAAATGGAGCAGAATACATCATGTCTTACTTATATGCTATAATATTGTGTCAGTTGCTACAAAACTATCGCTGTGGTTACTAAAATTAACCAACTGAAACATCTTAACGTTGAACTTAGAGACGTCTTGTAGTATTTGACTTCGTCTTGTGTCGGAGGTGAGTAAGATGGCTCACCACTAAGTCTATAAGGACACGGGAGCATTTCAGAAGGTATTTCCAATAGTCGCCTGCGGTATTCTATTTTTGAAAAGTCCGGATCCGTTTCCTGGTCTTGCATAGTGTCATCATAAGATTTGTCCTCATCAAGATCGTCATCATTTTCGTAATCCTTTCTTTGCAAAAGTTTGTTGATTTTCTGTGGTGGTTCCGTCCTTTCGATTTTGAGACCGATATTGTTTTTATACTTATTATCCATGATGCAGACTAGTCGATTCAGTGACGCCTTAATCCGTTTGCTTTTCGTTTCATTTTTCAGCTTATGTAGCCAGGACAAACGACAGTCGCAGTTTAGCCTGTTACCTGCGAAACAAATAATATCATTAAAAATTGTTCATTGAAAAACCACTTAGTCTAATAACTGACAACAAATGCAATCACTGACGAACAATGAGTTGTATAATAGCCGTATAGGATCATTACCTTATTACTTCGAAAGAAATAATGAAAAACGAAACACCATATCCATGAATAATTAATACTACTGGCATAAATACAGTTGCAATAGCGTATTAGAATTGTCTGTAGAAAGTATAAGGTGGTGCACCTCCTACTGGATGATGGAGACAACTGGCTAGTTAGAAAAAAGGGTGATTATCTCCCTCTGAGGTCGGTGTTGTTAGCTCGGGACCTACCGTACGATACTTGTCAACATTACTTATTAAGATGTCGGTTACATTTTAATAAATATTCATAATTCAAAATTTTATTTTGTAAAATCTTCAATAGATGCTTTATAAGACAGTTTAAGCGGCAAAGGTCCGCAGAGAAGTGCAACGATATAGACTATCAGTATACAGGTGTTCGATCATATATACGTTACGGTATAGTAATTGCGAATATAAAGCAAATCAGTTGAGACTGTATAACAGATGAGTGACCAAAAACTTTCAAAATCGAACTTAATATTTCGTAAGGCATTGTTAATTCTTTTAGACCCGGTTATGTCTGCAGTCGTGTTAACATCCTATAAGTTATAAACCATCCTCTAAATATGATTCTATTCACACGACCGGATATTAATAGCCTAAATGATATATGGTAAATTGAATCTTCATACATACATTTCTTTAGTAACATTGTTCTCGCTGGAATAAGCAAACCACAGAGCCGAATTAATACTTCATAAAGCCTATTAAATCATCGCTAGCAATGTAAGCTGTGGCGAGCAGTTTGTTGGGAAATTTGACGCTGCCGCTACCACAAAATACAGTTAGATATTATTAAAACACTGTTTTCAATCAATTATTATTTTTAATTTTGATACAGTGTACAGTTAAAGTTTATACGAGAAAATGGTGCGAATCACAGCATATGACACTGGTCCATTTTTTGGCATTTTTCTTCAAGATAAACTGTCATAGATTTCTACGTAGCGTTTTGTCATGTTTTAAATGTGTTTTGCATTATAAATATCATACATTTTAAAATAAACTTAACATACATTATATTATAAAAATACGAAAACCGTACTAGTTAGTACTATATTTTTTTCCTGTACGTATAAATCACAAATTAATTCCCATAGGTGTAGTGACAGTGTTAGATATTTTATTGTTAATCTTGGCGATTTGGTTGAACGCCAAATATAATTTAAATGTTTAATTAAAATATTTTTAGAAAGAAAATTATGAAGGATAGAAAAAAATATAAAAAAAGAGTTTCTGTTGCCGGAGACGTAATTCGAACCCGTAGCTTTTGACTGAGACTAATTTATCAATAACGCTGTCAGTGTTAGATCTCTTATTGTTAAACTGTTGATTCCTGAAGTAATTCTTTGCTCTTTATTGTGAGTCAACGTATTATCAATGTTAAAGAGCCCCTTCTTAGCTTGTTGAGCTAAAAGATTTTCTCTGTTTATCACATTGCACCCGTTAATGAGTTAGATAATAATAGTGAATTGCTCGGTAAAAAAAGTCTTTAGTTATTACTCGCAAAATATTTTGATTATAAAGTCCTTTATAATTCCTTCTACTACAATGTGACTCACATATTTACCAATTTGCCTTATAAAATAATGTTATAAAGACAACAATATATTTATAAAATTTTAAAGAAAAACATGATTTTTAGGAGACTTGTGGTTTTTTTATTTAGATATTTTATAAATGCATAGCCAAAACAGAATCTTTAGAAATACGTAGTTTTCTTATTTTAAATTAAAATTTATTTGAACGTTCATTCTTTGTACAAAATTTTAAGTTGATAGTAATATTGAGTAATCAAGATCAAAATTATCGCTCAAAGAAATATTTTCGCTAATATTTCATTTTTAGCTAAAACTAAATCTAGCGCATGCGAAGACTGAATTTTAACTTAATAAAATATCCTTTAAAATCGACGGCTTTGTATTTTTTATGTATATTTGTATAAAACAATAATTATGAGTACCCATGAATTTACACAAATCAAACAAATATAATAACAAAATATTATTGCTGTTTATAAAAATATGATCTTTTTTCAATAGCTATAATAAAAATGATTTTCTGTGTAAAGTCTACAACTTCAATTTATTTTATAAAATACTCATAACATACAAGGACATTTGAGACAATAAGAATCTCAATCTTATATTTTAAGCGTTTCTTCTACACCTATAGAAATAGATGAAATATTATGAATATTATTATTACCAATAAGATATAGATGTAGAATATTAAAGTTTCTAATTTTATCTTTCATAGAGTCGCTCTTACATAACTGGATATTTCTTTCCAAACATTACTTTGATAAATTGTAACTTATCCACCGTAAACTAAAACATTAATACTACGTATGGAAGCATTAATCCACTAATGTCCTTTACGATCAATTACATTTCCTCTTATAAACGTGTTATTAGTTTTGGCTGGTTTTATACTGTTTCTGCTCTATCTTAGGGTTCGCTGAGTTACATGAAGGAAAATTGACCTCCATTAACATTTAATGGCATGTAAATAATTGCTCTATAAATAGCTCTTTCAGTAATTGTAGTCTTTTGATGAAACGTTACAAAGTGAATTTGAATAATGTAAGTAGCTTAAGGTTTAGATGACTTTATTCCAAAGTGAACAAAGGAAAATTAATAAATATTAGTAAATATATTTCCATCTTATGCACCTATTGATCAACATAAAAGAAATTATTCCAATTTAACAGATGTCCCTTGATTGTAGGGTTATAATTGCGGATTTTGAATATCTCGTCGAGGCGGCGAATGCAGCCCAAGTGACGTACCCGACGGCCCAACTTGTGTTTCTGTGGGATTTTAATGTCTGTCACGAAACATGACTATTCCTATACCGGAAAACAGACCACGTCGGGAGAGAGACGCGTAAGCTAGCTTTAGCGTTAGATCTCACCTAGCTGGTCCAATGTGTTACTCGGGTACCTGACGTCGAAGGCCATATTGCTTGGACCTTCTGCTGACAACCGACCCAGACCGATACTCAGTGTCGGTATCGGCTCCCTTGGGTAAGGTCGATCACTGCGTAGTGAAATCTGAGTCAGCCTACAACCAGCCCAACATCGGCCCTGGCGGCACCCAGCGGTTGTGGCGATACATTGTCTTTCTTTGCATCTTTTCCTTGGCAGTCCGTATGTTTTTTCTCGAACAATCCGTCAAGCTGCGCGGACGCTGTGACTGAAGTACTTAGACAGGGTTTGGAATACTTCATCCCGTTTTCTGGTGTACCGATGTCCAGCAAAGCTCAACCTTGATGCGGGCCTGAACGTGGATACGCAGAAGCGTTGAAGCAAGAGGCGTACCTGGCCTGGGTTGATGCTCGATACCGCAAGGCAAATGACATACGTGAGAGGAAACGAAAATTCAACAGCGCTGCCAAGTCCTGCAAGATGTTACAGAGGGCCCGCTTCAACCATCCAGCCGAATAGGGGCCAAACTGGCTTCGTATCCTTCGGGGAGTAAAGCGTTTTGGTCCCTAGCTAAAACGATTGAGGCGAACTTCTGCCGCCCCTCACTGCCGCCGCTGTTGAAACCTAATAGTACACTGTCCCACACCGCTGAAGAGAAAACAAACTTGTTTGTCTTTCTGTTTGCGGAAAATTCACGTCTTGATGCTGGTGGCGCTGAACCTCCATCTCAATCACCATCTGTCTCCTCCATACTCTGTAAAACTATGGAGCGTGTCCTAAACGGCAGGTTCTTGGCGTACCTAGAATCCAATGATCTCCTTAGTGACCGTCAATACGGATTTCGTCAAAATCGGTCCACGGGAGATCTTCTAGTGTACGTCACACATATCTGTAGTGAGACCATCGAGAAATACGGGGAGGCACTAGCTGTTTCTCTGGACATCTCTAAGGCATTCGACAGGGTTTGGCATGACGGCCTTATTAGCAAGCTTCCATCATTTGGACTGCCACCTAGCTTTTGTGACGGGATATCGGATTTCTTGAGGGACAGATCCCTACGAGTGGTGACGGCTGCTCGTCGGACCAAATGGCTATTAATGCCGGTATTCCTCAGGGATCCATGCTCTCTGCGACCTTATTTTTGCTGCATATATAAGGTATCTTTGGGTATGCAGACAACAGCACCGTCGTGGAGAGGTATATGTCTAGTCTGAGAGTGAGCCCGGCTGAAATCCAGTCCTGCAGAGAAATAATGATTGAGCGTCTGAACATTTCCCTCCAGGCAGTGTCCGATTAGGGCGATGCCAATCTGGTAGGGTTCAACGCCACCAAGACACAGGCGTGTTTATTCTCCTCCAAAAGGAGGCCGTTTGAGCTGGCCCCCGCATTCCGGGATGTAATCGGTCACAGACCACCTTGACCTTCTTGGTGTTACTTTATCTTTAACGCTCAATTTTGGCTCATACATTGAGTCAAGAGCTCAGCCAACTGCGAAGAGACTCGGTATCCTCTCGAAGGTGCGAGGGTACTTCACGCCGGAGCAGCTGCTTACACTATATCAAGCGCAAGTGCGGTACTACATGGAGTACTGCTCGCACCTTTGGGATGGTTCTGCCAAATACCAGCTTGAAACATTGGAGATCATCGAAAGGCACGCCAAGATGCTCATTGGAAGCGACACTCTTTGGAAAAAGAGATTACAAAGTTTTGAGCATCTCTGCAAAAGGATTAAAAAAAGGATTAACAGTGCTGTTAATAAACAAGGTTTAGCGTTAGAATAAATTTACGTTAAAATTGCAATTTTAGTTTATGTCCAAAGTCATATTATACAGAGAATAAATATTACCTGTAGAACCTCTTACTGGGTTTAGCTTTGCTAATTCTCTGTTTAATAATATGAATTTTGACTAAGACTAAGTGCAGTTTACTCCAACGCTAAACCTTGTTTATTAATAACACTGTTAATGACAAGAGATCAAGAGTTAACCTTGCGTTAAAATCAAAAAAGAAATATTGTCAGTATTTTTATGTATTATTTAGTTAGACCTATAGGTAGATTATTTCAATGCAACAATGTTTCCTTCGCTTTCGACAAGCATGTAAGACAGTATCGTCTTACATGTTCACGTAACAATAGGTAGGTACCTGTCTTATCGTCTACAGAACCGCATGAATCCAATCAACTATTTGACCTACATAGAGTTGAAAGCCGAAGCAATGAAAACGCAAGTTTCTTTGTCAGTCACAAGAAATTCAATTGATTTTAATTAAAGTTTGAAATATTATGTCCGAAATATTATATCCGATAGAAACACAAACTAACTTGCAAATTAATTTCGGTTGGATGACCGCAACATTGAGTGGTCACGGTCAGTTACTGTGACTCAGAAACTCCAGTCATAGATTGCAATTCCATTAGGAGAACAAACTTGCACGGTAAAAATAAATGAGCATCTGCTTCCGACCTTGTTTACAGTGGCAAAGGGTTTTGTTTAGTTAGAACTTGACGAAATCATGAATGTCAATATAATTTAATGGATTTCATTAATCCTCATAGAATTAATTAAAATTAATGACATATCACAATTAGTCTAATACGTCTTAAAACGTCTGTGTCTCGACAAAACAAAACACTCAAATAACTGAACATGAAAGATAAATGAGAAACAAAGTTTTGAACTTACCATCGAGGGAGATTAAAGCGTAATTCATCATCATGTTTTCCAAAACATCTTGAACCGTCTCCATTCGCAATGTTTCCAAATTATTATTTCTCAAATCCAAAAAATTTAACTTGACATTATCATTCAGTACACCGTCATCGAGTGATGCCAACTTATTATCGACCAAAGAAAGTTTCCTCAACTGGTTGAGCCCTCCAAAAGCCCGTTCTGATATATATTCTATTTCATTACCGTCCAGATAAAGTTCTTGAAGACTCCAAAGTTCCGCGAACGCCAAGTCCCCTATCATATCTAATTTGTTGTTTCGCATATCTAGCGTAATCAAATTAGACAGCCCCTGGAAGTTCTCTTTAACGACAACAGTCAGCAGATTGTTGTCGAGATCTAATCTTATCAAATTGCTCAGGTGCTTGAAACAGCCGTCGTGCAAAACTGTTATTGTGTTCTTTGACAAATACAACCTTTGTAAATTTGGGAGGACATAAAATACATCGGTATTTAATTCGGATATCTGATTTTCTACTAAGCTGACGTTTGACAACATTATCAGATGAGCAAACGCCATCTTTTCAAGCTTCGTTATTTTGTTCTTCGGTAAAGTTATTTCTCTGAGTGTAGTAGAATTGGTGAATGCAAACGACGGTATACTAAAAATATTCGCGTACTGAATATTAAGGTACTGTAGATGTTCAAGGCGAACAATAACTTTTGCTGGAATGTATGTCAAACCACCGTCAGCGCGCACGTTGAATGTCAACTTTTCTATTTTAGGTTGCGAATAAAAATTTGACCAAAACGGATCGTCTTCGGCTATGCCCCCGTTGAAAACCCAGCAATCGGCTTTTGTGGCGGTTTTTATCTTTATACTCTCGCAGTAGCAGTGTACTTTAGACACTCTATCTTGAATATCGCAAATGTTGACGTAGTGCGAGTAGCTTTTGTCGTTTTTCCAACGCCTTTTGTCATTTTGCCGACTCTCAGTAACGTTTATTTCAACAGTCGCGAACGCGATCATTAGGATCAGATATTTAAGGTCCATCTTTGTTCCCTTTCACATTGGTGTGATTTTTATCTGTAACAAAAGAAAGGCGTTTAGTAAGAGTTCCTTTGTTTTCTTTTTATCCATTGCCGAGATCCGTGCATTAGCGAAGTTTCTGATTAGATTGTATTGAAGTCAAATGGTAAGGTGCTATCACAAAGGAACCTAATTGACTCTCCGTTGACGTTCGCTGTATTGGAATATTATTAAGTAAAAAAAAAGAAATCGTCTTTAACAATGTTGCCAATCATTTTTATAAGAAATTTATTTGTGAAAAAATAACATAAGTACCTTTATAGTTACACTCGAGTATGTATTGAACCTTGCGTTCATTTTTCTTTTAATATTGTGACTATATATTTTCCTTTTATCTAAAGCGTTTTACTGACTAATATCAATACATCATACAAGGATAATTATTTATTAAGTGACAATAATTATAATGTTTTTTATTATTTTGTATTTTTATAACATTTTCGTAACATTATTACATCCTATCTTATTTTTCAGCACTCCCTATATCAATTATCATAATTACATAATAACCGAACCATTCGTTGTCTCTAGTTGTACTGTAATTGAAGATCTTAATATACAAGCTTGAATTAGTTTACTTATCCTTTCGTACTGCCTGCATCTCGTAGAGTTAAGTCCATTAAAGTTAATTAATGTTTATTAAGACATTATTTAATGGCTTCGTTTGAAGACGTACTTTTAAGAAGCTAGTTAAACGTTGACATGCGTATCGAAGTTTTAATAAGAACAATGTGTTTAGTTTAAACGTGTTGACATTCATAAATTAATATTATATTATGAAGCAATGTAATATATTATGTTATATAGATAATAATTGATATCTATGACTATATACTAATAATCTATAAAGGAAATATTTTATTATTTGCTTCGAAAAGCGTCCTAAATTAGTAGACTGATATTTTGAATAAAAAATCACTAATAGGAACCTAGGAAAAACAGCTAATTAAATATAGGGCACATAGATATTCAATGTTAAATATAAAGGTTTAGTACACATACAATAATTTTCATATTAACAATAAAATGATTACATAAAGATTTGTTTATTGGCAACAAACGCACCTGTGTTGAATTAAGTATATAAGTATATTTGAATAATTAAAATAAATAAACGACAATATATAATACGAGTATTTAATCAACAATCATAATATTAAATCAAAATAAAAAAGATACTTCCTGCCCAATGCTTTAATTACGGCTCATAACAGCCAATTTAAGTTACGTGGAACGAAACAAAAGCGCATTCACAAAAAAGAGTCGTCACAAATTTCAATTAGTCAGTGTAATGACCCCGTATGTCGCTATTAAAGTATCACACGGACGCAGGAGGCTCGGGTTGTAAGCTCACGAGTGTACAGCAACAAATTTATGTGCCATATGGTAAATTAAATCCAAACAATAGGTAGAACTGGGTGTCTGCCAACAACTCTTCGTATGCGATTCCAATGTAACTCATATTATTGAATATAGATAAAAGTTCAGTTGAGTGTTTCATCAGATGGAGTAAACTCCGACCAATTCGGAAAATTTCTAATAATTTTAGATTGTATAAGACGGGTATTAACTTGATAGATTTCGATAGGTTTTTCACCTACCTATATTTCCCGACGTTTCGACCAGGTTACATCGGCTGTGGTCACGGGCTGACTGTTCCTGCCATGCTACGTCTCATCTTCTGAAGTGGAATCCACTTCTACCACGTTAATACCCGTCTACAACGTTAATGCCCGTCTTATACAATCTATATAATGCAACGCGAAAGTTTAAAAATTTACATTCTTATAATCTTTATTAAAATTATACACGTGAGGATTAATGCATCAAAGGTAGTGTCAGCACTTACCGCAGTTGCATTATGAATTGTCCAAAAATGGGTTCTTTGTAGTCATATTAGCCTTTCGAAAATAGAACAAATTTCGTTTTCGAAGAAAGAGAGGCCTTTATAGCGAATTTGCGACTTTTTACAAAAAAAAAAACTCAACTGCATCATTTCAGATTAGTGATATATTTTACATCACGTCTCGGAAGTAACGTTACGTAAACTCTCTTTAAAAAGTTTTATTAATTTTTTTTATATTCTTCTTTTAAAATTCTTTTCTTTACAATTCTTTTAAAAAGTTTTATTAAAAATCTAAATTTCACTAATTTTAAAAAGCATTAACTGCCAAGCCCATTCTGCGATACCTTGGTTTATACTCAGAGGCCATAACCAAATGTCTTTCAAATAATTAACGTTTAATAAGATGCTTTGTTCAAAATTAATTTCATTGTATTCATAGTCTGTCTTTTGAATTTTATATGAATGATTAAATATCTCACTAAATGCGTCATCACTTTAATTGGAAGCTACATATTATATGGCATTTTGGTATGTCAATTTATTCCGTTTAATTTACAATTCGACTATTATAGCTTCATACTAAATAGATGCCTTACTAAGTATTTAAAAGAACTGAACGCCATATGTGATCTTTACTTAGATATTTCGCTTCATTGCCGGTCTTAACTTCTTTTCTTTCTTCTTATGCCATCAGTTCATTGCGAAATTACACAATTAATTTGATATCGGAATCAATCGGGGCCCTGTTTCTGCATCCTTTTATTTTCGTATTTTTAATTTTTCCCGCAACTGGCATTATTTCCACTTATCTGAATCATTGGAGCATGCTTGTTTCAACGTTTAGGTATAATAAATTAAACACAATTATTTATATCTATTTTTGTCTTTTGTTTTACCTTTATTTCCGTGTGACAAGACGCAGGCGGCAGAGTTATAAGCTGACGAGTGTAGAGTGATAATTGTATGTGCCATAAAGGACATTAATACCGATCAATAAGGCTGAGTGTCTGTTTCTTACGCAAATCATATTATCTATACAAATATTTTAAATGGAAAAAAAAGATTGAAACTGATTTTTTAAATTCTTACACCTACGGGAAGCTAAATTGTAGGCGGGTGACTTAGTCTATAATTTAAATGGGCGAAGTCGCGGAATGAAAATTAGTTTACGTTTTAAATATATAATGTAATTTGTTTCACCTATATTTATCTTTTGTTTTTTCTGTATCTAGGTATTCAGATATCACTAGAAAAATAAATATGGTTGTAAGCTCACATTTATCTTGTAACAAACGTATGCCATGAAGTTATTAATGCCAATCAACAGATAAGATTCTTGATAACTGATAACGATCTTTTAAAAGCAATTACAATGTGATCTTATGATTAAAGTACTGCCAATTAATTAAATTTATTTAAGTATATAACGTAATTATTAATCGTCACCATTAGTATTATTTTCATCGTTTATTATCTCCATGACCCTCGGAACACAGGTATCATGTCTCACATAGAAACGAAAGCTTATCCGTACATTAACTTTAATTAAATTAACGTTATTTCTAAGGGAGCTCCCCTTAAGTATTTATTTTTTATTCTGTTTTTTTAAACATTTGGTGTTAAAGCGGCAACAGAAATACTTCATTTGTGTTCAACTATCATAGTTCGTGAGGTACAGCCTGATGATGGAGAGACAGTCGAATGGGCAGCAAAGTCTTAATTATAAGGTCCCGTAAGTGAAAGACTTATAATCTATCCAGTAGTTTCGGAGGCTATTCAATACAAACAATGAAATGTGTCCTATTTATAATCACTACATAATAAAAAACAAAATCGCTTTCTCTGTCCCTGTGTATGCTTAAATCTTTAAAACTACGCAACGGATTTTGATCCGGTTTTTTAATAATTAGGGTGATTCAAAAGGAAAGTTTTTATGTATAATACAAGACCACGCGGGCGAAGCCGCTGGAGAAAAGCTAGTATTAAATAAGTAGAGAAAAAATATAATAGAGTAATTTAGACATTTACTGCTACCTGTATTATGAAGTCATAAGGATGTGCTTAATATTCTCAATATTGACTACAACACCGCTAGGTCATTTTAAATGTTCTTTAAGATCTCATGCTTAGTTCTCAGATCGCATAGGCAATGTTGAATAATTGGTTACATTTTGTCAAATGTTCTTCATAATAAAAATATTTTATTATCAAACCAACCAATTGTAAATCACTTGTAACATCTATAAAATCCAGAAAAGCACCTGGACTTTATTAAAATGTCATAACAGTAGCTCGAGAGGGTATAATAAAACTGCAGGCGACAAATTTATGTGCCCACTGGTAATTAACGCTGCACAATGTGCAGGATACTAGATGCGACACACGACAGATGTCTGTTGCGAACAAACAATGGCGCGAGGGAAATTAAGTAATTTAACTGTAACAAAACTAAATTTATTTTAGTTAGTAAAAATTAAAATATAACGTCTCAAAAGTATAATGCTTCAAATACATTGGCTGCTGAGTATAGGACATATAAAAAGAAATAAGAATTAGAATAGAAATAGCTAGATTCACTTGCCGCGTATTAAATCTGAGATGGGATTTGATAAAATTTTATTTAATTACAAATTCTTATTTTGATATCTGAAAGTTGGACTTTGAAGCAGGCTTATAAAGAAACTCAATGGATTTGAAATATATAGATGAATGTTGAACGTTGAAACTAATTAAAGACTTCTAATAAGGATGAATAAGAAAATGGAATTAGTTACTACAGTCAAAAAGAAGAAATGGAATAATAAACACAAATTATTATTAAGGGATTTTAAGTGAAATTATTATTAACAGACAAAAAAGAGGTAGTGATAGGCGAAGTAGATCTTGAACTAGAAATAAAAGAGATTGCTTAGAGATAAGGGGAAAGGCTGATTAGATTCACATGACAAAAAAAATCAGCATGAGTAGTGATCGTCGTCGTCCTACGTGAAACAGCACATAAAAGAAGTAATAAAAATATCTACGGCATAATATTTAATATTGAACTATGTTTACCACTTTTTCACTCTAAAGTCTAATATGTCAAATGGATAAATATAAAATTCGAATTAAAAAAGAGTATAATAGAACATTGACGTAATTTCAACTTGGATGTACGTAATATGACCAAAGAGAACGGTGCCTGTGATACTGTAACGTAACA